GGCCGAGAAGAAAGCAGAGGCCGAGAAGAAAGCAGAGGCCGAAAAGAAAGCAGAGGCCGAGAAGAAAGCGCAGGCCGAGGAGAAAGCAGAGGAAGAGAGGAAGGCAGAGGAAGAGAGGAAGACGAAGAAAGAGAGGAAGGCTGACGAAGAGAGGAAGGCTGAGGAAGAAGAAATCTTCAACGCGCGTGTGGAGCACGTGAACGATGCCATCACCGAGTCCATTTCGTTACAGTTTGGCGGCCCGACCCCCGTGGAGCCGGGAGAGCCGGAGTGGCTCGCTTGGGACTGGAATGATGGGCTCCTCCTTCGATCAGGTGGGAGCAGCAGCAGCTGTCCTAACGTGCGGGTGCGACCCGGGCTCTGGGCGCGAGACGATCCAAAGGCCCTCGATACGCTCGTCAACCCTCATGCCCCATTCTTGAATCGCCTTGCACAACTCTGCACGTCAGCTCGAGTTCAGGAATGCACCCGCAGTCCCTGTACACAGCAGAGGGCGATCATGGAGCGCTTCGCGCCTGAGTGTGGATGGCCCCGCTTTCGCCAGTGGGCCATTGCCGCCATGGCCTGTCAATCATGCTTCACCCACGCACAGAAGCTGACGCGCGCCCACACGCACCTGGTGACGGCCGCCTCGCTCTGCCACTGGCTCTTGATCGGGTACAGGCACCGCTCCAGACCAATCGAGGACGAGATAGTCGGCAAGCGGCGGAACACACACCGCGTCGACCTGGCCAGCGTATGCGAGGTCATTTACTGGATGCTCACCATTCAATCGCATATTGGCCTTGGCAACGTCGCTGAAGGCAAATGGGGGCCCGAGTTCCTGCCAGTTGAGGTGGTACAGACAGCAGTAGCCACGGCCCGAGCAAGAGCCCGCCAAATCGGTATCTGCCCATGGCGGCTCGAGAAGTTGACCGAGGTGGCTGAACGCAAGGAGGCTGACCTGCCTGCGCTCATGGAGCTGGCCCAGCACTACCCAGCCCTGAGCAACTTCAAAGTCGGCCCCGGAGACCCCGAGTATCACAAGGACCGCTACCACGGCTTTTGCACGCCGGAAGAGTGCGGCCCGAACAAGGCCGATACCGAACAGATGACACAACTCCACAAGTGTCCCCCGTGGCAGCGGGACGCCTGTGGACAACATCCCGTCAAATACTCAGTCAAGGCGCTCGAACGCTCCATCGAGGCCAAGAGGGGATCCCAATGGTCACGCTTCAAACCACGCATGGCTGCGCCCGGAGAGCCGTACGTCGCCATCTCGCATGTGTGGATCGACGGCACCGGCGTCGGCAACGGCCCCAAAGGCCTAAATAGCAAAGCGTCCAGCAACCAGGGCAATGTCAACCGCTGTCTCAACGACTACTTCACCCGGATCGCCGAGAGGGAGAACTGCTCGGCAATCTGGTGGGACACCATTTCGTTGCCGATAAACCCAAAGATCCGGTTGCAGGAGATCCACAAGATGCAGAATACGTACCGCGATGCCACGCACACCATCGTGCACGACAGTGGCCTCCTCGACTTCGAGTGGGCCGACGACGGCAGTCCCTGTGTTGCCCTAGTGCTTTCGGCCTGGTTTACCCGCGGCTGGACCGCCCTTGAACTGCATGTGTCCCGCCGGAGCCTCAAGGTGTTATACAAGGGCCCCGACCCGCAAACTCCACTGATCAAAGATCTAGACAAGGATATCCTGGCGCACGACCCGCGAAACACGACCCGTGCTCACTGGATTGCCTCATCGATTATCCGGCGCTTACGCCAACGCGTCGAGAATGTCCGCGACATGTTGAGCATTCTCCGCCCGCGTGCTACCTGCCGCGTCAAAGACCGCACCACCATTGCTGGCCTTCTCGCAGACCTGGACCCTCCCACTTGTACAGAATGCACAAACCCCCCCTCCGAAGACGATCCAGATGCAAAAAGACAGGCCTTTAACAAGCACGTCGAGATGCACACGACCCGCCGAGTCCTGACGACCCTGGGCAAAGTCGGATGCGCGTCACTCATCCATGACAAGGAACCGATGGAAAATTCAGGACCCTTCTCCTGGACGCCCAGTGCAGTGCATGACATGCCGGTGAACTCAGGGGGGGATCTCCAACCAGGTATCTTCGGGGATGGCATGCTAGACGTGGATCAGTATGGCCGAGTCATGGGCAGCTGGCACTATCGGGGCTTGACGCGCGATGATGCCGCCTATTTTGTCGAAGCGATAGATTCTGACAACGAAGGAATGGTTACGCGTATCACGGATGCCCTCCGCCATTGGCAGAACTGCTTGATCCTGCGGGAGTTACCGCAGGACAAAGGCCCAGCCCTTCTCGCGACGACGGTAGGCAAGGAATCCGTTAATGGGAGAACCATTACCGACTGCCACTACGTGGGCGGCGTGACAGTGCGTGCTGATAACAATCCTTATGGCGAAAGCTACGACATCAGGTATTCGTACGGCACCGTTCGATTTGGGAACGAGAATGGCCGGCCCGATATGAGAGCACGGGACATCGTCCAGCTTCGTGATGCTGCTCCTTCTAACGAAGAGAGTTATGACGGAGAGGACGGCGAGGAGATACCAGAGGATGGAGAAGAGGAGGGTTGGATTGGTAGTGATAGCAATGGCCCACGGAGGCCGAGGGGTATGTTTTAAATACTAAGTTACTAGCTAACCCTATTACTAGGTTTCGTGGCAACCGGGCTGCCGGTTTCAGCCGTAACACTATACTAGCCCTTGAAGAGGTTATGATTAGTTTGAATAATTTTTCTCATAAAAATTTGTCAATGGGGGGTTGGCGTAGACTCCCAAAACCTGCTGACGCGATTTAAGTGCCCATTATAACTCGTGCGCCCAGTACCGTTTTCCTGGGAGAATTAGAGGAATATAGTAGTGTCTAGTGCATATACCCCCACAGCGCCTAACTTCTACAATGGGATAGAACTGCTCCGCGAGGTTGACAGCACTTGGAACCATGTCAACGGCACCGTGCCATGGAGCGAGCACGACGAGGCAGGCAGATTGGTGGCAGCCCTGGCATGGAAGTATAATTCCTGCGCGGTAGATGCTGTCTTCGTGGCGGCACTTCTCCTAAATGTAGGGAGGGTGCAGGCCGGCCAGGCAGATCAAACATACCTGCAGTAGTTTGGCATTCACGCAAGGCTGATGCGAAAGATCATTCGCCTGCCATGGTCGAAGCTTACGAGGGTCCAAATCGGCGATCTACGTGATATTCTTTGCGGGGCATTGGAACAAGAGGATGTTATCTATAGAGCTTGAAACGTTTGAATCCGAGAGTCACAACAACGAGGTCGTTGATCACTGAGGAGAAATCTGTCGGAGCAGACGAAACTAGACAAAAGTCGGCAGGCGCAGAGGAGCAGGAATCGAAGGGGGGCGCCGAGAAATCCAAGGTCGAACTTACACCAGATGCTGCTAAACAGCAGATCGGTAAGTCATATTTGCAGCAGGAAAGGTTAAGTTACTCGAGTCTAACTCATGCAGTCAACTTCGTCGCTGGTTACAAGGTGCAGAAGAAGAAGGGAGATGACGAGGTAAGAATATCAAAGGGTTACTACCTACTCGATGGACTAGGCTGACTATGGTAGTTTGAGGATATTGACGAAACGCCGTCAAAGAAGCTGAAGACTGTAGAGGAGCCTGCTATGTGAGCTAAGGCGGCAAGCTCGCCTCTCTGATATCAGCATGTGAGCTATTACAAGACTTGTGCAGTATGCATAGGCATAGTACAGAACTGAACAAAAGCCGAAGGATGAGCGACGTAAGGCCCTTCTACCCTCGACACCGCCCCATGCCTATTTCTTCACAAGCTGTACCACACTCTGTATCAAATTTTACGTCTGCGGTATGTCAGCGCTGAACGCTTTGTTTCTGCCGATCGCACGCTGGCGACCGTTCCTAGGAAGCCGAGTCGATGGTTTGGAGATGGGCGAGCGCTGATCGCGGGCTGTCATGGCCTTGTCATTGATGGACTATCACTGTACAGTACGCGGTAGATCCTCTGTCATGGACCAATTGGTTCGATTGGATGTGAGGATGGGGAAGCTATATCCCGCTCGTCGTGATGCATTGCTCGGTTTTCTTATGGGCATACTTAGTCTAGCAAACTGGCAGCCTAGAGAGGATCATAAGTATCCCTCTCCGGTCCTCTCCATCGCTCGACCCTTTTTCTCACTTACTATACCCATAACAACTCTACTTGAACTATACTGTACTCGTCTAGCGCTCATGGCACTCTCTCAGAGCGTTAAGTTCTAGACGTTGTTAGTTCTGAATTATAAAGAAAAAATTATAGTTTAAAAGAAGCTTCCTCCTTACACGTCTTTATCTTTGTACTATAAGATGTCATATAATATAGATTAGCACTAGATATTACCATTGCAAAACTGCCATTTCCTTTTATTTTGCTCTCATTACGTTCATATTGAGTGGAGTTCCCCGGCACTGCTAAATCTGCCATCTCTTAAGGTCTTGAGTCTAGACTGGTCTGATTTCAAAAGACGTCGAACTGGAGTTACATACGATGGGATCATTAGGGCCAAGTTCGAGAAGAGGCATCTTGGTCGCAGTTTAGGAACTTTTTAGTGCGCGATGAGCTGGAACATGACCAATTGCGGCGGTGTGTCTCAGCCGTGATATATTGGACGATATATCGCTTCGCTAATCGATTGATTTAAAGATGTCATTCTGAAACCGTCGACCAAATCTAGCAAGTTCCCCACAGAAATGCCAGTTGGTTGTGTTACTGCTGATTCGTTTCAGTTCCTTACCACTTATACTGTTCCGCTGTCCGCTACGGTGGAGCGAACTCCTTGCTTCACAATGTAGCAGTAAGTTAGTTGAAGGCAGTACATTCCACATGGTAACATTACGTGCGACAAAAGGAAATCGAGCGGATCGAGATGTCTTTGTAACAGAGGGTTAGGGCCCGTCTAGATCAATGTTACGTCTAGAGCTGAATGCTAGTACACAGGGCTAGATGTTAGTGCCATCGATGACTTTTGTCACGTCATAGTTGAGTTCTAAGGGCCATTGACCGATGACTTTAGGTCCCCTTAACATCTGGAAAAACCTAACTATATAAAGTTCCAGTTTCTACTCCCATGAACACGACCGTTGTCAACAACAAATAACAGAATCTCCACCTAACAGTAATTCACAATGACTAGATTCTTCATTTTGCTCTTCTTTAGTAAGCCTATAAGAAATAATCTATTATGTTCGTATTTCCTTGACGTGGCTAACTGAGACAGTTACCACTGCCCTGTCGCTAGTGATTGAGGATCGCACTCTAGATGACGGCTGCTTGAAATGGTGCTTAGAGAGTTACGGTAAAAACATAGTCGGAGGCGCCCTGTGTGTAGCTCTTGCTGCACTAAAACGCGGGCCCTGCTATATCTGTGGTCCACAGAAGGTTTCTGTAACTGAACAGTTCTGCAACGGCCAGTGTGACGAGACCAGCACTGACAATAAGAATTGCGGTGCGTGTGGAAAAGTTGTAAGTTTGAATATCTGTGACAACCTACTCTCTGAAGTAACAAGTGACCACAAAGTGCCCCGCCAATACCAATTGCGATAAGGGTATCTGTCGCCCTTTAAGCAACTGCAATGCCGTGGACATGTGCGAAAACACTCCATTATGCGGTACCGACTGTATCTGCCAACCCGACGAACGTGGCAAGGGGTACTGCAACATACCGCAGTTGTGCAACGCCATCCCTAGCTGTAACACCATTGCCGACTGCCCTGTTCCTGGCAGCGTGTGCCTGTTCACTTGCTGCCCTGGCGGCAAATGCTGGCAGCCATCTCTGCTGGTCTGCAGCAACCTTGCAGCCCCTAGGATGATTTTCGAGGATCACCGTATTAAAGCCCGTGATGGTCTGTGGAGTGGTCATATCCCAACGAATGGTTAAGTAACGTAGGTCATGGTGTAAGCGGCGACATGGTGTAAGCGGCGATTTTAGAAAACACACCAAAATCCACATCACGTGACTGAAATTAAAACCTTAATAACTTCTATAATAATGCTTGTAAAGCTTAGTGCTCTTATATTATTAGTCTCTATATATGTATACATTAGGATTTAATTTGCTATAATGTAAGCTAGTCTTATTAAAGAGTTATTTACACTTAAAGTTTTGCTATACAAATATTATATATAGGAAAAGCTAAAACCTTAATATATACTATAAAATACGACTAGCGCTACTAGCAAATTTACATATATTAGATGATTATACAAAGAGTAATAGTCTAAGAGTATTAAGCTCTATAAACATTATTACAGAAGTTATTAAGGTTTTAATTCTAGTCACGTGATGTGGATTTTGGTGTGTTTTCTAAAATCGCCGCTTACACCATGTCGCCGCTTACACCATGACCTACGTTAAGGTAGCTACAACACTATTATAGATACTATAGGGGCCTATCTTACAAATGCTATATATAGTAGTACTAGTAGCCCTAAATTCTCTACTTAGGACAGTAATAGCATTATAGATTCTAATTATAACAGACTTAGTGCCTTGTACCTATTTAACCCCTCCTAACGTAGGTCGTGGCGTAACGGGTGTAATGGCGTAACGGGGGTATGTACCTTTACAGCTAAACTTGTAAGCAATAGTACTTAGAACCAAAAACTTCAAACCTAAATAACTCTATGAATAAAATTAGTAAAGCTTATTCCTTGTATATATTAGAACTGTATATAATACTCTTTTACATAAAAAAACGCTAGTAGCACTATAATTGTTTTGCATAAGTTATTAAAGGTCTAAGATTTTACCATACAAAATATTAGTATGGTAAATCTATAATTGTTAATAACTTCCTTATATAACTAGCTTACAGGCTGAAATTTCTAAGTCGAATATATGTATATATGAAGTTTCTATATACAAAAGTATTATACTTTACATCACCTACTTAAGTAGTTATTAAAGGTTTTAATTCTAGTCACGTGATATAAATTCGCTAGCAAAATACCACTACCCCCGTTACGCCATTACACCCGTTACGCCACGACCTACGTTACATTA